TTTTTTTTTTTTTTCTTGAGATAGAGTCACACTCTGTGGCCCTGGGTAGAGTATTGTGTGTCATTATAGCTCACAGCAATGTCAAACTTTTAGGTTCAAGAGATCCTCCTGCCTTAGCCTTCTGAGTAGCTGGGACTGCAGGCGCCCACTATGATCCCAGCTAGATTTTCTATTTGTAGTAGAGGTGCAGTCTTGCTCCTGCTCAGGCTGGTCTCAAACTCCTGAGCTCAAGCAGTCCACCCATCTCAGCCCCCAGAGTTCTAGGATTGCAGGAGTGAGCCATCGTGCCTGGCCCTCCAGTCTGATTCTTACTGTATAACTTCCCTGGATCTATTTTCTCTAAACTGCCTAGTTATTTTCATGCCATTATTCATGGTATTCTTATCCTTCAAAAATTATTGAAAATAATACCACAGCTTTCCATGACCAATAACCACCAATTACGTTTGATGAATTTTTTCCTTTAGAGCCTTTCTTTATCATTAAATTATAATGACAATGTCCCAGTTCAAATCATGTTTTTACCTAAAATATTAACTGCATTGCTCTGTGTGGTTGTTACACGTGGCCACGTAGTTTGCATAGTGACTTAGGAGGTGATGCTCACATGATGGTGGCCTGGACGGCCCACAGCCCGCTCCAAGTCTGTGCAGCGTGTTATCTGCACGGGGTGAGGAGTCATTTTCTATCACATAATAGCAGAATCCTTTGTTTGATATAAACAGAGGATTTGAAATGTTGAGGCTTTTTCATGATTTCCATATTAAGTAATGTAATGTTTTCTGAAAATTTTGTAAATACAAAAATCTGAAAAGAGTTCCCAATGGGAACTTAAAAGAAAGACAACCTTCCTGTTTGTGTTTACAGCCCTAGGGGTTCAATTTTGTCCTGAAGTCCGTCCCTCGGATGATGCACAACAGTGCAGCACCAACCGGGATCAGGGAGGAAAAGGAACGATCCTGTTAACTTCCGTCTCCTTTGATATCTTGTTACATCTCCTTCTTTCAAAACATTGCCAACTAATATTAATGAAAATTTTCTCCATAAAAACAAGAAGAAAATATTCCAGTCAATTTTTATCAACATATGTAAAACAATTCCATATTTACTATTAACAGCCAGATAAAGGTTTTTATCATTTTTCATCATCAGTGTTGATATAGGTTTGATCTCACAAGATGTTTAGGCAAAATC